TTCTAAACCGTTGGTTTTATGAGTTGATAATATGAATTGACCTCCATAGAGATTCTATCACTGATGTCTCGAACGTTAGCCATTCGCCAGAGCGAAGGTCTCAAGGCCTGCTGTTTTCTTGCTCGCTCATTCAGCAAAAACGAACAGTTCGTCTCCGCTCAGTGTGTCGGTCGTATGTCTGGCTTCTTGAAGATTACAGCTGATCTCAAGACTGAGTCACTAAAACATTCTAGACCTCAAAACAGTTATATAAGAAATAACCGAGACTGACGGAAGGAAATGGTCAAACACGGATTTGCCAGACAGTTATTTTTTAACAGAATATTCGCCATTCCTAATACCTCGAAAGATATTTGATAAAATGATCAAGAATTAATAATGAAAACAATGTTATTGAGCACTGTATGATTATTATCAAAGAACATCTTTCTTTTAGTTCTCGGAGAATGTTAACATAAAGGAAATTAATGAATAAATTCTGAAGAGTTCTTTTGAGGAAAACTAAAGAAATGAGAAATAAGCTTTTAGGCTTCTTGGTATTTGATATGTAAATCCTTTTTCACTTGCTGATGGATTTATGAAAAATAAGCTCAGAATGTTTTGCTGTAATGGGTGAAGGGCGGAAATTACGAATCACCTTCATTTGGAGCTCAACAACAGCTGTTATCTGAAACACAAATTAGCAGGAGATAAAGTAGTTACTGTAAAGGCGGGGTCGTTTTTCGCTCAGTTTTTTTTTCTTTTTTAAACATTATTCTGAAAACAAGTCAACGTAGTCAAAAGCACCCTGCATATTGAGCAGAGTGACAGTCAATTATAAGTTTTCATCTGAGCTTTTTCCAAATTACTCGGAGACATTATCGGTTTGCAAATGCATTTCAAACTGATTTGCGATGGACGGTTTGGTTACTTAGCAAATTTGATTAAGACACCATAAGTGCTCGCGCAATTATTAAAATAACAAAATATGTTTCGAGCAACATTAATTAATTTTTCGAGCCAATTAATTTTGGTTTAAGCCAATCGGATGCTAGTGAGATACATAGAGCAATACCTCCTCCTTCTTTAATTTTTGCAGGCTTAACAAAGAAAAAAGGTTCTTG